AAAAAAATAAATCATTTAATTATAAAAACAAATAATTATCGACTACTTAAACAAAATACTATCCAATTATAAAAAAAAATTTGAACAAAAATTATTTTAATTTAAATCACATATTAATTATTAATAAAAAAAATTACATTTTTCCGGAAATTAAATTAACTAAATATTTATAATGAATATATAATTTGGTTTTTTTTAAATAAATCATTTAATTATTAAAATAAAAAACAAATAATTATCGACTGCTTAAACACAAAATACTATCCGATTATAAAAAATTTTTTTGAACATAAATTATTTTAATTTAAATCACATATTAATTATTAATAAAAAAAATTACATTTTTTAYYGAAATTAAATTAACTAAATATTTATAATGAATATATAATTTGGTTTTTTTTAAATAAATCATTTAATTATTAAAATAAAAAAAACAAATAATTATCGACTGCTTAAACACAAAATACTATCCGATTATAAAAAAATTTTAATCAAAAATTATTTTAATTTAAATCACATATTAATTATTTAAAAAATTTTTTTATACATTATTTATATATATTTATCAAACAAACAAACAAAAAAAAGAGATGAAAGAGAAAGCAAACAATTTGTCCGCCAATTGGCCGCACGACTCGGCTATACATTACCGATGATTACCGATGACGACGTTGCGGTTGTCCGCTACGCCAGTGCATTGGTCACTGTCAGGGCTACACAATTGATTTCGGCTACTCTGGCCGCCGTAGTCGACCGTATTGATCGCCGACATATAACAGTGGCCATTGACGGCTCACTTTATAAACATCATCCAAAATTTCACGATTTGATTACCGATTTTACTCGGGAGCTGATGATGGCCAGTACCGATAGTAGTAGTACTGCCGGTGCCGATACCGCTACCGATAAGACAATCAAACTGATACTGGCCGAGGACGGATCGGGTAAGGGTGCGGGACTGGTAGCCGCAATTGCCCATCGATTTTGGCTTAAACATAACAATTGTAATAATAATAATAATAATCAATTGATTTGTTGATTATTGAATTAATAACTAAAAAAATTACACAAAAAAATAATAACTAAAATAATTTAAAAATTAATTAATGAATTAATCAATGAATGAATGAATGAAAAGTTTTTTTTTTAAATTAGTATTTTTTTTAGATATATATTAATTAATTAATTATAATTGTATTGTTTTCTATAATCATTTAATATAATATACTAGTTTTTATTAAATTTTAGTTTTACTATTTTATAATTTAGTTTATATTATATATATATATATATAAATATTCAAGTTTAATATTTTTTTTGTAGTATTAAATATTTTTAATTATAAATAATGTATATTTTATTACCAGTATTATTATTATTACTTATAATATAAGCAAATACTAGTATTTAAAAAAAAATAATTTTTTTAAAAATAAATATAAAAATATATAATCTTTAGTTATGTTATAAATAATTAAAAAAATAATTAATTTTATATCAAATTTAAAGCACACACACATATATATATATATAAAAAGTTTTATTTTAATTCTGCTTATATTTTATAAAACAAAAAATAATAAATCAATCAATATGTTATTTAAACAACAAATTAATTGTATTATGTATTAGACAAAAAAAATAATTTTAAAAAAATAAAATAGTAATAATAATTTAATGTCAATAATTTTTTTTATTAATTGGATATATAATTAATTTTTAATTAAATTAGCAAATAAAATAATAATAATAATAATAATAATAAGTATATATATATATATATATATTACACACACACACAAAATTATATTATATATAATTTTTTTTCAACAACAAAAAATAATAATAATAATAATAACTAGAATATACTTATAAATAATTAATTCAAAAAAAAAAAATAAAAAAAACAATTTTTATATAAATAAATTTTTATATAAAATCAATATAAAAATTGTATAAATATATATAAAAAAAATATTTTATTTTATTTATAAGTAATAATAATAATTATAATTATTATGATTTCCAATGATATCATCCGCCAAATGATGACTCCTTGTGCTGCCGTTGTTGTTGACCATTGTATGTCCTATTGTTGTCCACTACTACTCTTACTACACCCGTGCCGTGTCGTCGGCAGCAATTGGTATCGGTATTGCCATCAATAGCTAACTGTCCATCGGTGTCGTCGTCGTCATCGTCATCGTCATCGTTATATAGGTTTTTAATACGATCGGACATAACAACTACGGCTATGTCAAACATTGCGGCCACTAATAGCAGTCCCAGGGTTAGACCATGTAGATAGTAGCGAAATTTTTCCGGCTCATACAGCCAACAGTTACCCCGTTGGCCGCAAGCTTCGCCCCATATCAGACAGGTAGCATCGGTCAGGTAGCCGTAGACCAGTGGATAGGGTATGAATGCTTTAATTTTTTTTATAGATATATATATATATATATATATATATATATATATATATATATATATATATATATAT